ACCAGACTGGATGTTGGTAGTAAGTTTCTACACAAGTAGTAAATACAATATTGTAAAGTAATGTTTTATATTCAGTTTTAGGTTGCTTGAGGCTGATAAATATATCTTGTTTTAATTTCAATATGGATTTATTTACGTATTTCTCCTCATTTATGATCGAGGCTAATTCAGAGCAGCTTTTCTAAACATCTCTTTAAACATTCCTGTTAAACTGAAATTCAAACAGCCCAAAGTGTAGAAAAGATAAAACTGCAAACTGTTTTATAAATGTCTTTAAAGATTTGCTTTTATTTTTCCACATTTGTAATAGCTGTTTTTGAATTAGTTGAGATTGAGTTATTAAAATAAAATCGTACAGAGTGAAGATAAAGCTTATAATTTGAAAATCTTCAAAATCTCTTCATTTCGTCATAGATTGCTTCAAGTTTAAAATCTGTTGAAGAGTTTGGCTATAATGATTGAAATCCACATGAAGAACATTTGATTGTAGTCAGTTCATTTTCTGTGTTTGTTCATGTTTCCACTAAATACTTTAAAGTAATGTATAGTTCAGGTTTTGGATGATTTTGATGATACAGTTTTTGATATTTTATTTCCAGTGTAGTTTGATATATTTCAGCTCATTCTGTATGATGATTCTCTCTGTGCTGATATGCATGAGAGGCTTCTTAAAGGGAAGTGAAACAATGTGTGAGTGAGTGACTGGTGGAGCAGAAAAACCATCTGACAGAAACTCCTTAAAAGAGAAAATCAACTCTCACACAGTAAAGGTGTCCAAGTGTCTGCTGCTTGATTGACAGCTGTGTGGTCCCTGTCCTCTAAGCTGATTGGTGTCTCCTAGGTGATGTCCGTCCCACCCTGACGATGCTGCCCCCCTCCAGTGAGGAGCTGCAGCAGGGGAAGGCCACGCTCATGTGTCTGGCCAACAAGGGCTTCCCCTCAGACTGGAGTCTGTCCTGGAAGGTGGACGGCAGCAGCAGCAGCAGCAGCTGGGAGGAGAGCAGGAGCCCCGGGGTGCTGAAGGACGGCCACTACAGCTGGAGCAGCACCCTGAGGCTCTCTGCAGACCACTGGAGGAAGGTGGGCTCTGTGACCTGTGAGGCCACCCAGGGCTCCCAGACTCCGCTCTCAGAGACACTGAGGAGAGACCAGTGTTCCCAGTTCTGACCTGACTCACTGGGACTCTGATACTGGTTTTACTCTGCTCTCAGTCTGCACTCTGCAACTCTGTCTCTCTCTGTCTTCCTCACTCACTCTATAAATATGTGTGTCATCGATGATGTTTTTCTGTTTGTAATTTCAATTATTTCATCACAATAAAGACCAGCTCATCGAATCAGTCGTTTCATTTCTGTTATTGTAAAATTAACAGACGTTACTGTCATTGTAGTTCCATTTAATCTCAAGTGTTTTATGGATTATTTGTAAAATCAGATGAATAACTAAAAGAAGGGAAGATGATAGTTTTGTAATGTATAATAGGATATTAATGGCATACAAAGTAATTTTTTGTTGGTGTGAATGAACAGATGTCTGAGATGCTGATAGATTTTCTGACAAACACAGACAGGGTTTAATGTAAGAATGGAAAGAACAGTGGATTAAAAGGATATTGATGTGTAGTCAACATTGAAATTAAATTCATATTGTAATATTTATTTACACGTGTTATCAGTCCATCAGTCAATATAACTTTATTTATCTTTGAGAGGGTAATTTAAGGCAGCAGCTCACTGTTGCTGATGTTATTTCTGATGTGTCTAAATTCAACAAATCAAGTCTGAAATATTGTCATCTCACCACTTCACTAAACTGTGAAGAGCAGAGCTGTGGTCCTGTCCTGAACCCTGAAGCAGAGACAGCAGAGCAGTATCATCTGAGAATCTGATAAAGTAGCTGCCCTCCTCACAGCTTCTGCAGCTGTCGGTGCTAAAAGGTAAAAGGGAGAAGACACAGCCTTCAGGTGAGCCAGTACTGTGGCCACTTACTTAGTGATCTTTTCAGAAATCTTCATAACAAGTGATATGAGGACAACTGTACTCCTGAACTTGTTTATGATCAGTTATCTCAGGAACTGGAACCACATGAGAGGATTTCTATATTCTGGGGATATGATTTGAGTCGACTGAATTTTATAAAAGTTAAGTTAAATATATTTTCTGTGTGTGTTTGTGTCTGTGTGTCTCTCTCTTGAATTGAATTGAAGTGATATGATTGGAAGCTCTACAACAGTTAGTGGATGGATGTTGTACAGAGATTGTCTGGGTATTTCCAACGTCAACCAATAACTTTCAGTCTCAATGTCTTTGTGTGGTATTTTAGTTGCATATAAAAGAAAATGTATTTTTTATGTTGATATATTTATATCACGTAGGTCACTTTTGTCTTGTTATGTCTCCAGTTAATCTTCTGTGTGTGTGTGTGTGTGTGCTGTGTGTGTGTGTGTGTGTGTGTGTGTGTGTGTGTGTGTCCTCAGTGAAGTGTATCAGTCTCTGCAGTAGCTTCCAGCTGCAGCAGTCAGTTCAGTTTCTGTTCAGTCTGACTGAGGGAGGTTTTTGTACGACGCTTTTTCACTGTGTGAACACATGCTGACTGTTGATATAGTGATAACTCTGACAGTAGTAAACTGCTGCATCTTCAGTCTGGACTCCACTGATGGTCAGAGTGAAGTCAGAGTTTGATCCACTGCCTTTAAAACGACCTGGAATCCCTGATGCTCGAGTGCTAGTTATATAAATGAGGAGTTTAGGAGTTTCTCCATCTCTCTGTTGGTACCAGTGTAAATAGCTCCCACCATGAACATTCTGACTGGTCCTACATGTGATGGTGGCGGAGCCTCCCAGAGCAGAGCTCACTGCTCCAGACTGAGTCACTGTGTACTGGCCTCTCGACTCTGACGATACAGAGACACAAACATAAAGCAGCGTCATGGTTTTGTGGGCTTCATTTCAGAGGGACGGATGTTCATAGAGGAGAGGAGTTTGATTCTCTGGACTTTACCTGTGAAGCAGCAGCAGAGGAGAGTCCAGATGAGGACGGAGATCAAAGTCATGTTTTTGATGAGGAGGATTTCTGTGTCTTCTGTTGTCATGAAGGACAGCTGTCAGTCATCCAGTGTTCAACTCTCAGGACTATAAACTCTCCCAGAGCACTGGAGCATGGTGCTGCTGATGCAAAGTGGCTCTCTATGGAAATGTATGAGAGACCATGTTCTCAGTACTGACCGGACTCACTGGGACTCTGCTTCCGTTTTTACCTTGCTACAGCCTTAAATCTGCACTTTCTATCATTCCACCAATTTAACAAATTTGAACAAATTTGAACTTCAGATTATGACATTTTCATTGTCCCAATAATGCCAATGCTGTAAATGCTATACATCAATCAAAAGATATTTTCTATCTTTAGATCAAATAATTTTTCATGGATCCCTGTTTACCAACAATAGATGTCTTATTCCATATTTCCACATGTGCAGGATTATAACCAATGTCAGAATAAGATTTTCATATCATTGTTGATAGTTAATACAATCTGGGAAAAATAGCTAAAAATAATAAATAACATAGCATGAGTGAAAAATGTGCACACATGCTGTTTCATTGGGTTTCCCCATACTGGACACTTTTTGTGTATAATGTGTATGTGCACAACAACATATTAATGTTTATAAAAAAAATGCTGACATATGTTGGAAACTCTTTCTAGTTAAATCTAGACAGCTAAATCTCTCTCAAACATGTGATTGGAGATATTTAACCTCATCTGCTGAAGACTTGGTCAAACCTGCAAAACTGGAATGAAAAGCAATCTAAAATATACAGGCTGAACATGCATGGGCTGCAAACTGCTCTCAATTCAATTCAAATTCAATTCAAAATGGGCTTTATTGGCATGAAAGTTTTTGCCAAAGCAAAAGCATCAAAATACAACACAATAAGTCGAAATATTCAGACAATACACAATATGAAAGATATTTACATTATTAACATTATATTAGTTATATACAGTGTGTGTGTGTGTGTGTGTGTGTGTGTGGGCCCACTGTTTTGTTTAGAGTTTAGTTAAGTAGCATTTGATCTGAGTCTGATGAGTACAGATAAATCATATTAAAGTGGTAAGAACTAGGAATGTTAGAGACCTGAGATAATTTAAGTTTTGAATAGTATTTTGATATTGCCAAATCTATTTTGCTTATTACAAGTGTCTGATTTTCTACAGTGTTTTGCCAATTTTGGTAAAGAGTATTTTGTTTACAATTTAGTATTTCAACTATAATATTTTTATTTTAAAGAAGTCTAATTTGGGTAATTGTGTTATTTCATTTTTTGTTTCTTCTTAACTAACAAAGTAAATATTATTTGTGTTACACTGCAAACCACTGGTTAGTAAAATATTATTTCATTTATTTGAAAGAGTTGTCTGGGGTCAGTTATTTAAAATAGTGTACAGTATGTGTGAATAGAGCCACTGCTTAGTCTAACAGTGTTGTTGGTTATTCATAAAGTATTAGGCTATAAAAAGTTGCACACAAAACAGGTAAACCTTCGTGGTAGCTACCTTAATGAATCGAACTCAAACACCCCATCATTCAAGTCCAAGGTGAGTTCCTTTAACATAGGCATTTACTGAGTGTTGGGGTGCTACACATATATAAAGAGAGTTTGTTACTCTGTAAACTGTGTTCAGCTACTGTAGATGTACAATGCATTGTGGGAAAATATTAATCTCTAGATATAATTACAGTAACTAACATATCTGTATAAACCTGTCTGATGAGAGACTTGACATCAGTTGTATCAAATGCAAAGGTTAAAACATTTATCTTTGCCTAAAAAAAAATAACGTGCGAAAAAAAATGAAAATGTGATTGATTATTTTAAATGCCACATTATTAGAACTACATGTAATTATGAGGTATGTTTTAGTTGTATCTTGTTGCCATTTAGTTTCCATGCAGCTGTTGATTCAGATCAGTTCCTCTCAGCTGAGGGAGGTTTTTGTATGACACTTTTTCACTGTGTGAATGGTCTGCTGTAATCCTGCTGACAGTAATAAACTCCTGCATCTTCAGTCTGAACTCCACTGATGGTCAAAGTGAAGTCAGTTCCAGACTGACTCCCACTGAAACGCTCTGAAACTCCAGAGTGACGGGACTGAGCCTTATAAATGAGGAGTTTAGGAGCTTCTCCAAGTTTCTGAAGGTACCACTGCAAATCATTGCTAACACCTGAACTGGCTTTACATCTGATAGAGACAGTCTGTCCTGGAACAACAGACTGAGCTTTAGGAGACTGAGTCAGGATGATTTCTCCTGATGAATCTGGAAAACATGAAAAAGAGGAGAAGGGTTATTGAGACAAATCCAGTTTGGAGAAAGATGATCAACATCCAAACAGAAGAGTATCATTTCTTTAACATGGAGAATAGATGGAAGAAGGTAAATGCTGCTTGTTTCAGTGTTTCTCCATCATAGCAGAACATCATTGTGGTGAACCTGGTTGCATCCTGAAGCAAAGTTTTCAGAAGAGAGTCTCACCCTGAACAAGGAGCCCCAGGGTGGCCAGCAGTAGAGTCAGTGACATCCTCATTGTGCTGCCGGCGTGTCAGTGGCTCTGAAAGGCCTGGACAGCCACTGATCAACACTGGCCTCTTAACGGCTGGGAGCAGAGAGGAAGGACACATATGCAAACACACAGAGTCAGTGAACTGTAGCTGTCCTCAACATATCATGGTGTTTCCCCCTCAGTGCTGAGAGCATTGTACTACATATTTACATATTTACCTGTAGAGGATATTGAAACATCTTGTAGTTACAGCTGTGAGCAGTAATGTGAGTATTCTGAAGGTCTTTATGTTGCACTTTCAGGATTTCTGGTAGATGTTGACTGAAAAGTTCCAACTGATAGTTTATGGGTAACAATCAAAACCATTTCTCAGTAGCTGTTTTGGAGCTTTTGATTTAACTACATGGTCTTCCTCAGCAGATAGAGTTCACCCAGTTGTGATGGAATAGAAGCCAACATGTACAAGAAGTTCTAAAAATGCTCACAGAAATGGGAATTCGAACAACTACAATTGAATGACAACCGGGAGACTCCATCCGCTGAAGAAGCTCATGTGATATGATTTACAGTTCCAGTTAGTGGATGGATGTTCCACAAATATTTTTTAAAATTGTTTTCAAGGTAAAGAATTCACCTTTATACAGTGTTAGAGAAAATGTATTTTTGCATGTTTTATGCAGTTAAAGATAATTATATTGAAATATACTGTATGCAGATATAATTATATCATAGAGGTATTCTAATGTTAGGATTCCAGTCATAATGAGATTTTCTTTAATAAACAAAAGTCTATTCAATCAATACTGAGTGAAATGGGGATGTAGGCCTACGGGTTTGTTTGGTCAATCTTTGGTAATGAAGATTTCTGATTGGTGTCCTTTTATTATTTAATGACAGGATGAAGTTGAAGAATCTGTACTCCAGTATAAATCAGAGGTCAAAGGTCAAAATCAAGAATTTTCTCATTCATTCTCCCTGGGAACATGGGATTTTGAAAGAAGCTGTGATGGAGAATGTAATTCGATTTACTGTGAGATTATTCTTTTGTCAATTTTAATAAATGTTTATTGTGTGTGTGTGTGTGTGTGTGTGTGTGTGTGTGTGTGTGTGTGTGTGTGTGTGTGTGTGTGTGTGTCCTCAGTGAAGTGTATCAGTCTCTGCAGTAGCTTCCAGCTGCAGCAGTCAGTTCAGTTTCTGTTCAGTCTGACTGAGGGAGGTTTTTGTACGACGCTTTTTCACTGTGTGAACACATACTGACTGTTGATAACATGAAAACTCTGACAGTAGTAAACTGCTGCATCTTCAGTCTGGACTCCACTGATGGTCAGAGTGAAGTCAGAGTTTGATCCACTGCCTGTAAAACGACCTGGAATCCCTGATGCTCGAGTGCTAGCAGCATAAATGAGCAGTTTAGGAGTTTCTCCATCTCTCTGTTGGTACCAAGCTAAATAGTGGTAGCTGCTCCAAGTATAAACCTTAGGAGTTGTCCTACATGTGATGGTGACTGAGCCTCCCAGAGCAGAGCTCACTGCTCCAGACTGAGTCACTGTGACCTGGCCTCTGGACTCTGAGGATACAGAGACAAAAACATAAAGCAGCATCATGGTTTTGTGGGCTTCATTTCAGAGGGACGGATGTTCATAGAGGAGAGGAGTTTGATTCTCTGGACTTTACCTGTGAAGCAGCAGCAGAGGAGAGTCCAGATGAGGATGGAGATCAAAGTCATGTTTTTGATGAGGAGGATTTCTGTGTCTTCTGTTGTCATGAAGGACAGCTGTCAGTCATCCAGTGTTCAACTCTCAGGACTATAAACTCTCCCAGAGCACTGGAGCATGGTGCTGCTGATGCAAAGTGGCTCTCTATGGAAATGCTCTGACTGACTCCAACAGGGACTTGGATTCCTCTCATGATGCTGTTTATCAACGGATCAATCACTTTATCAGAGTATTGATTAGGAATGTGTCAGTGCTCATTTGTATGAGGCTTTGCTTTCAGTTTGATGGACACATTTTCTTCCAGAATATTTAGTGGATTCCCCCTAATTCACTACCACACAGATCAACATCACTGTGGGACACATTTAAACAAATATATTATCTATTATTTATTTTATATTCATCATAATATACAATAAACATATGTTTATGATCATTATTTACATTTGTCATCATTTATTGGAGACTTTTACTTAGAAATATCTTGTTTCATCGTTTCAATGTAACATGAATTAATACAGCTTTTATCATACAAAAAGATTAAATATATATTCATAGTTTATTTTTTAGACACTTTAACCAGTTATTAGATGAACTGGGTAAACTGGGAATGCGCTTGCTGAGTTTGTTTGTGTCAAAGTCAGAGAGCCGTGTCTCTCTACAGTGAGAGGTTTTTGTACGGCGGCTCAATGAGTTTGTATCACTGTGGTGGACTTTTGGTGGAGGAACCAGACTGGATGTTGGAAGTAAGTCAAATCTTTAATTTTTTTATCATTTCAGGACATATTTGTGTTTTTATATATATTTCAGGAAGAATTCTTGATTTTTCATATTAATGTATATCTTCTGCAGAAATACTTTACACTCAGAGACAAACTTTGCATCAGGAATATAAATTCAAAACCTCATTGAAGTCAATTTAAAATATCAAGACAGAATATGAATCAGTATTTCCAACTTTAATGGTAAAGCTTCATCTTGAGGGTTTGTAGGTTTAGTTCAGTGTGCCAAAATCAGAGAGCCGTGTCTCTCTACAGTGAGAGGTTTTTGTACGGCGTTTGTATCACTGTGGTTGACTTTTGGTGGAGGAACCAGACAGGATGTTGAAAGTAAGTTTCCGTACAAATACTAAATACAATATTGTAAAGTAATGTTTTAAATGCAGTTTTTGTATGTCTGAAGCAGACAGATATAGTTTGTTTTAATTTAAACACTTGAAGTATTCATATTTGTACTTGTCCTCCTTCATCATGGAGACTAAATCTTTGTTCTTTACACATTCCTGTCAAACTGAAATTCAAACAGCTTGAAGTGTAGAAAAGATAAAACTGCTAAACTTGTTGTACAAATGTTTCATTTTTAAGATTCACTTTTACTTTTTGATATCAGAAATAACTGTTTTTAAATTAATTCAGGTAAAATTATTATAGTCAAATTGAACATAGTGAAGATAAAGATGATTAAACATTCAAAATCTCTTAATAGTGTTAGATATTGTTTTAAAGTTACAGTTTGGTAATAATGATTGAAATCCACATGAAGAACATTTGATTGTAGTCAGTTCATTTTCTGTGTTTGTTCATGTTTCCACTAAATACTTTAAAGTAATGTATAGTTCAGGTTTTGGATGATTTTGATGATACAGTTTTTGATATTTTATTTCCAGTGTAGTTTGATATATTTCAGCTCATTCTGTATGATGATTCTCTCTGTGCTGATATGCATGAGAGGCTTCTTAAAGGGAAGTGAAACAATGTGTGAGTGAGTGACTGGTGGAGCAGAAAAACCATCTGACAGAAACTCGTTAAAGGAGAAAATCAACTCTCACACAGTAAAGGTGTCCAAGTGTCTGCTGCTTGATTGACAGCTGTGTGGACCCTGTCCTCTAAGCTGATTGGTGTCTCCTAGGTGATGTCCGTCCCACCCTGACGGTGCTGCCCCCTCCAGTGAGGAGCTGCAGCAGGGGAAGGCCACGCTCATGTGTCTGGCCAACAAGGGCTTCCCCTCAGACTGGAGTCTGTCCTGGAAGGTGGACGGCAGCAGCAGCAGCAGCAGCAGCTGGGAGGAGAGCAGGAGCCCCGGGGTGCTGAAGGACGGCCACTACAGCTGGAGCAGCACCCTGAGGCTCTCTGCAGACCACTGGAGGAAGGTGGGCTCTGTGACCTGTGAGGCCACCCATGGCTCCCAGACTCCGCTCTCAGAGACACTGAGGAGAGACCAGTGTTCCCAGTTCTGACCTGACTCACTGGGACTCTGCTACTGGTTTTACTCTGCTACTGCTCTCAGTCTGCACCCTCTGATTATCTAAATCTTTCTTTACCTTCTCTCACTCTCTGATTACATGTTTCATTGAATAAATTTGTTATTTTGATTATTTCAACACAATAAAGACCAGTTCATTAAATCAGTTGTTGTCATGTATGTTACTGTAAACTGATGTTGCAGACTTAATAGTTCTGTTAAATCCAAAAACATTGAATTCAATTTTAGGTAATGTCCTTTGAAAGACTACAACGTAGAAATGTTTAATATCTGTTCTCGATTTTTAGAAAACATAAAAGTAATGAGATAATCCTTAATGAGAAGTCATTGTGACAGAGACATTATTAAAGTAATTTTATTCTTTACTCCAGATTCTTTAAAGCATTTGTGATTACATAAACTTCCTTATTACATTAATCATGAATTTATTTTTTAGGAACAAAGCTGATCGATAAAATATTAAGGAAGATGTTGTATTTGTCTTATTAATGAAGTGTGTCATTGGTAGAAACTTTAATATTAAAATGGTTTCACAAGTTTACAGAAAGTAAAATGAATCTGAGGAAACTGCAAACTCTGGGAAGAAAGCATTGTATTTGAAAGATAAAATCGGATATTATCAACATATTATATCATCACAGGATCACTATCAGCAGTTTGTATTCAAATTATAACATAAATTGCGTATTTTCATATAAACACAAGGTCATTCAAATTATGTAGTGTATGTAAGTTTGTTGAAAACTAAACTGGTTTAAATATGAATTTCAAATTAAATTGAAATACTAAGAAATGAAAATAAATATTCTATTACAAACATTTTGACTGATCAAAGCAGGTAAAGCACAGGTGTAATAATAACATTACAGGTTTTTTTTCAATTGCTAACATCTTTTTGCCCAATCTGTAGTCACATTTTCAAAACTCTAAACACAGTTAGCCCCACATTGGTCTGTTCATACCATACAATTAACACAATTCATGTTGTTTCCACAGAATATGCAGTCTATTGACCCATTTCTACAATGCTAAGTTTTTCTTTACGTACAAGCTCACCCAATACCAAAACTATGGATGTTTTTTGTGTTATTTACAAATGCTTACACACAACATGTCAGAAATAAAGACCTTATGATCAAAACCTTAAATATTCCATGAAGCCTCTACTTCTGCAACAAAAGAAGTTCAAAATCTATATTGAAACAGCTGATAAGCATTTATTACAGTTTTTTCTAATTGCTAAAACACAATTTTGCAAACTAGGCTGGTTTTATCAAAATACTAAACACAATTCAC